CCTAATTATCTTTAATAATTGTGTTTCAAATTTATATATACAGATTATTCTTCGAATAGGACAGCGAGAACGTGTGAAAAGACATGTCGGACTACCGTGTTCGCGCAATAAGCACGCCGACAATAGTATCAACTGACAAGGGTATATTCCGGAACAATGAGTGCATCCACAACCAGATCAGAGAAAACGGCGGCTGTTCAATCGAAAAAAATCGGTTCGGTGTTGGGTTTTAATAAAAAAAATTCGATTTAATTTTATTCATAGAAATATATAAAATTCAATTATTTACCATAATTATTGTATGTTTATTGTTTTAATAAGAATTCCGCGAGATGTACTCTGTGCCAGATTTGTCAGCGTGAGAACAATTTAACGAATTGTGTAGACTTGCCAACAAATGGTTAGAGTGGTTTAGTGCTTGCGTGCGAATTCCTTAAATTACCCGGTGTTGCTGTTGCCTTTGGGTATACAAAGACACCTTTACTTTTACCAGTTTGTAACTGGTTATAAAAATCTGGTTATTTTCCATTCTATTATTTATTTCCTTTTTTGTATTAAAAAATAATCCTTTTAATTTCTTAAACAGTTGGTTTTAAATTTCAAAAAATTGTTTTAACGTCTCAATATGTTCGTTTTATTTTCTGTGATCAATTAATATTTTGTAGATTCATAGTCAATACAAATCATCGATGATTGGTAAACGCATAACACTTAAGCGTAATAAATTACACAAGGAGTTACGGTGTTGACTTTAAACCGTAGGGTGTGTAATCAGTGATCTGCTGAACTCCCGTCCTTATCCCGGTAGATCCACCGAAGAGATATGATAATCGACCTGTTATTTTCACCTCCTCACAAATTAGCGGGCTTCATATGGCCCAAGGAACTCTCTGAACTGCTTGGATAACACCTGCTTCGTCGCGGGTATACGGTTATTATTATTTTCCCTGCCCTAGAAAACGTTTTAAGTTCGAAATGGTGTGGTATTATGAGTGATATCCGACCTGGAGCAGGTGAATAACCAAGACCAAGATTGATGGATCAAACCTTGGTACAGTTAATCGTTTAATGAATTCAATATGGACAAAAAAATAGAAATTATTCACCCCTGTCTCTTTGACACTTAAGATTTCAAAGGCAAGACACATGACTTTCGATATTAATATTAAACGCAACCTCAAAATAAAAGAACGAATCCCGAGTCGCATCGATTTGAAATTCAACGGCTCTTTTGTGACGAATTAATTTACAAACTGATTTCTTTCGCGAATTTAGAACGTCTAATCTCTAAATTCATATCGACAGGTGATGCGGAGTTGGCGCGACAGGTGAATTCATCGTCGATCGAAAACTCCTAACCCACAATTTTGCAATTTAGTTAAACTGCGCCGTTTTCATTTTTCGAACATTGATCGACAGGCGATCTTTCCAATACACAACTCGTAAAAACACCCCAGTTAATCTTAAGACGAACATAATAATATGACACGGAGTGTGGGAAAGCAGCCCGCAAGTTCGAATTTGTCGGTGGAGCTCGCGCAATTCTCCTTAAAGAAGACAAAACTCGAAGGGGGGCCAATTACTTCACTTATGCGCAATTTCACTGCGGGCAGTCATGGTTGCTCATGTCTACGTAATTATGGAGATTGTTTAAGCGGAAAAAGGTCTGGGTGCCAATTAGCCTTTTCTTTATGTTCCGTTACCTGACGTATAACACCTGAGGGACATCTCATTTCAAAAAAATACCACAAATATTTATTAAAGTATCAACAAGATTGTAACCCATAAAAACCCGATGTAGTAACAAAGGATATATCGCAAAACCAATCAAGGTAAAGATGCCAACAATTTCTTATCTCAAATTGATGCCAAATTTCCGCAAAACTATATATTTTTTTAAACATGCTGCAGTACTCATCCATCTGGATTATGAGAAAACCAACGCTAGATGGGAAAGTGTCCATAAAATTAATCCAAAAGTGCAGATATGACCCAAAAGAGACTATTTTGAAAGGCTTAGAGAAGACGAAAAAGATGAGATGAAAAAATGTTTTGAAATTGTAAGTAAAACCAGGACTATGACTTCAAACTGTGACTTTGGTGCCCAAATTACCTCCCAGCGTATGAGTGGAGATGATAAGGAATGAAGATGTAGTAAGAGGATTGTCGTTCTTCGAATGATGAAACCCAATCATTTTGATCATACTTTAATAAATCTCTTTATCCATCTGGACGATGAGACAACCGACGTTAGATGGGAAATTGTCCATAAAATTAATCCATAAGTGCAGATATGACCCAAAAAAGACTATTTTGAAAGGCTTATTTTGATCACACCATCTAAGGGGACATCTTATGACAAATACTGCAGAATGTAAGAATTGAAGGTCACCAAAATTAATATAGAGCTGAATAAGTAAATCAAAAACGGAAGCTCCTTGTTGGAATTTAACCCCAGACGCCAAAGATAAGATAGAGATGATTGTGATAATTGATGAAAAAACCTAATAGAAGATATGCAGCCCTGCCTGCTTATACAACGTCACACGTAGGTTGAAAGTGACAATATAGCTGTGCAAAATACAACACTATATCATAACCACTTAGGTGTATTCTATAGAAATAATCCAAATGTGGCTATTTGCGGAAAAAGTGCTATACTAAGATTGCCACACTTATTCGTGGAAGATGTTTAGTATTGGATCCAGAATCGTTATCAAAATCAGCCTCCCAAAGTGTTTGTTTTGTAGCTTAACCGGGCTTCATCTTTGTCATACACCCATGTGATAGTTTATTTACGAAGAGTTAAAGAGTTTTATTACGTTATATCGACGTATTGCTTAGGTTGCTGGATTTTAAAGAAAAGTGTATGTTATTAGAAGGACACTATTAGAATAAGTTATGGTAGATGGTATTTGTGATGATATTATTGTTACTCGCATCTTCAAAGAACACATGTATTGTACTGTTGAGACTTAACATTAAGCAGTAAAAGATATTTTCGTGACAAAATGTATGATGGGTTTTTGTGCTAATCACGCCAATCAACGTTTTAGTTTGAACATCACCTCTAACACTGTAACATACTTCACAATATACTATCAAGAAATGAAAAGTTATTGCTGTAGTTGATCAGGTTGCTGATTTTTGACATGTTGCAACTTTCCTCAGAAATATGATTAAAAGCAATGAAAAAGACGAAAATTTGAATTGTTAAGTAGTATCAGTGTATCTGGGAGAATCCTTCATCAAGCCCTTTAATATCTTCCAGATTTGGCTGAGCTCCATATTGATATAGTATTAGATCAAAATTTGTTAGTACAAAAAAGTGTGATCAAAGATTTATAATAAAATGATTCAAAATAATATAACCAACTCAAATTTGGAATATAAATATTTATAAATTTGATTTTAGAAACAGCTCTAAGAAAACTTTCATCAAAAGAATTTTAATTTAAAACATAACAACTGAAGCATAAAACCATATCACATTGAAGTTAAATGAAGTTGTCAGGTCAATTTGAGGGTAGCCTTTTATATAGGAAATCTCCTTCCTATTGATATGTTAATTGTTGAAATCTCTTTGGATTACTTATTTACGTGCTGCCATTTGAATAACGAGCTAAAGTATCGATACTTTCGCGGTGTGCATTTGCACCTCGACCGGAAACGGAGCGTTTCCAAGCCAGGAAACGATTAGACACATTATTGTCCTCCGCTCCACGGCTGCGAGCTACGCGCGAAATAATGGCGGAATTGCAACGCTAATTGTCCTGGCCATTTCAGAAATTAGCGGTAAACGTTTTCGCGCGAGTATTACGGCGTTTCCTATTTCCCTCCTCTTTCTCCAACGTCGGGCAACGGACCGTTCCTGTATCTATCTATGGAAAAGATCGCCGGGCAGACTTTCTAGCCGTAGATTTGAATGAAATCCGGCGCCATTGTCCGACGGTGTTACATGAATATTTACATCTGCCTGCCTTAATGCGACCCATTGTTCTTTCGCCATTCGAGGAATATGGAAGTACTGGAACCGTTCGCTGTAATTGTGGGGAACGATAAACCGTTTTGGCTTTATCTAAATCAAAAATCTTTCACAATCTGTTAATGAATTTATCATCAAACGGTTCTCATAAATATTTTGTCGCCAAAAACGATTCTCATTATAAGAAAAAAAGATGAAAAACATTATTTTCTGAGATTCCACTTTCCAGGAAGAGACTAATTATCGTCGGGTTCTCTCTCAGCTCCGATTTACAAGATCATTTTGAGGAAAGGAATTTTTATTTATCTGGCGACCCAGCGCGGCTCGTTCAGATGTGCACAATGGAAGCGGAAAAAACGACAACGGGAGAGACCAAATTTTCCAAGGTTCGTTTTCTCCCGGTCTCATAATCAGTGTACCGACGCGGATCGGCCGTAAAATAAGGACGTTCCCATTCAAGAGATGGTCATTCACGAAATTCTCGCAATTGTACCAGATACAACGAGTCTAAACTGCTTTGGAAACCGTTTTGACACGCCACTGGAGCGGTCTTAAACAGGTGTGGTCTGTGAAACTATCTTCCCACCTTCGAATCAAAACTATTAACCAAAAAAGATTTATTCTTTTTTTTCATTCGTTTCGTTTTAAAATCATCATTACAAATATTGCTTAATTATACAGTGCAAATACTCGTGTTACTTAGATGTTATGTGATATTATGACACCTTTTGTGGTTTTTCAAGAATAAGAGAAGCATTTCTTTTATCTCGTAACCTTTCAAAAAATTAATTCTAAAAATTATGTTCACTCAGAAATTAGAGATTTTAAAAAATTTGTATTAACAAATTTTTTTTGAATCATGTAATGATGGCTAATAAGCTTCCTTTAGCACCATCTATGAAGTTAAAAATTAAACACGATACCGCGCCATCTATTAATTATATATTTAAGTAGTTGAGTTGAAATTGTCCAAGAAAACTTTTATTTATAGTTTACTATTTATGTAAAAAATGAATATTATTCAAATTATTTATTTAAAAAAAAATATTTTATCATACAATTTAAAGACGTGAAACTTCGATTTTTACTCTAACGTAATAATGAGATCTCCAATTTCAACTTCTGAACCAACAGCAACATTTACGGTTTTTACCATCCCTGGGAATGGACAAAAAATGGTTGTATCCATTTTCATGGCGGATAAAACGGCGAGTGGGAATCTTTTTTCGACGACATCTCCGGGTTTAACATTTATTTTAAGGACGGTTCCTCTTAACGGAGCACCGACGTGAAGTTTATTTCCTCTTTCAGCTTTAGGATTGATAACGACCGCCTTACCAGCTTTTCGATCTTTTATAGATGCTAATCTAAGCATTCCATTTAATCTATAAAATACCTTACGTCGTCCTTGGGCGCTACTGGAAATTGCTAAAATCGTAACCATAAACGTTTTTCCTCTGCCTACATTAACGGTGAATTCTTCTCCGATTTGAGGGCCGACCAAAAATATTCTTGTGGGGAGTTTATCGACCGGCCCGTAATGGGCTCTGAATCGGAAATAGTTATTAGCAACGTCGGGTAAAAGAGCAGCGGACATAATATCGTATTCCGAGACTTTTTCGTACTTTGTTTTAAGTTCGTCTTCAAGTTTTTTAAAATCAAAAGATGTTAATGAAGAACCAGGTCGAGCTTCATAAGTTTTCATTCCCTTAACAATTTTCGTTCTTAAAGGTTCCGGATATCCTTGATACGGCTCGCCGTAACCACCAAGGAAGAAATGAACCACAGAAGCAGGAAGTGGTAATTCGTCGGCTTTATCCGCAATATCCTTAGCGGATAGTTTATTTTGAACCATAAAATGAGCCAAATCACCTACTATGTAACAAGTCGGTGAAGATTTTACAATGTTTCCTAATAATTCATTAGCCTCTGAAAATGCTTTTTTAATATCTTCAAAATGATCTCCAGAACCATAAGAATAAGCTTGAAATTGAAGGTTGATGTATTGATGTCCTGGAATTTCGTTGAAGTAGACATCTGAATTTCCAGTTTTCATGGTTGAAGTACACTCAAAAGGCGCATATAACGTTCTAGTTTGTTCCCAATAAGCTGAGTATTTAGATACCTGCTCTAAACCGATATTAGTTGTTCTTGTGGTGTTTTGAACTGCCGCTATTATTGCTCCCATACTCGGTTGGCTGGTGATCCCAGACATAGTATCAGCAGCTACATCAATTATATCAGCACCCGCAAATGTAGACGCTAATAATGTTGCAACCCCATTTCCACTGGTATCATGCGTATGGACATGAATTGGCATATCGGGAAGTTTTTCTTTTAAAGCGGTTACCAGCAAACTTGCCGCTTTTGGCTTTAAAAGTCCAGCGGTGTCTTTTACACAAATCATATCACTTCCATAACTCGCCAATTTTGCCGCTAAATCTAAATAATATTGCAATGTGTATTTCTTTTTGGTTGGATCCGCAATATCGCCAGTATACGATAGTGCGGATTCAACTATACCACCAGCTTTATGTACGGCATCTATTGTCATTTGCATGTTGGGTAAATAATTTAAAGAATCGAAAACTCTGAAAATGTCAATACCAGCTTTCGTGGCCATTTCGCAAAATTTATACACAACATTATCAGGATAATTTGAGTATCCAACGATTGAAGCGCCTCTAATTAACATTTGAAAAGGAATATTTGGAATTAATTTTCTCAGTTCAATTAGTCTTTCCCATGGGCATTCGTGGAGATAATTCATCGCTACTTCAAAACTAGCTCCTCCCCACATTTCTATTGAGAAGAGATTGTTTAGATAATGCGAAACATAAGGTGCTATTCGAAGAAGATCGAAAGTTCTAACTCTCGTTACTAAAAGTGATTGATGAGCATCTCTGAATGTCGTATCTGATAGCAAAACATCTTTGTTATTTTTCACAGCTTTTATAAAAGCGGCCGCTCCTTTACTTTTTAATAAATTCCGGAAACCTTCTGGTGGAGGAATATTAGCAGGAATTTTCGGCACTAAAGGTTTTATCATTGGAGGTTTTCGATCGGTATAAAATTGCGTTGATGGCCCGTTCACCATGACATCACCACAATAATTTATTAATAAGTTAGCTCGATTATGACGTTTTTTATATTGAAATAATTCGGGGTGTTCGTTTAGAAAGTTAGTAGTAATTTTGCCTTTTTGAAAACTTTTATCCAACATCAATTTAGATAGAAACGAAAGATTATTTTGTATTCCCTGAACGCGGAACTCTTTCAATGTCCTATGAAGCTTCCTACACGTAGCTTTCAAAGAAAATGCTTTAGCCGTAAGTTTTAATAAAACGGGGTCATAATACGGTGTTGCATGGGCTCCAGAAAACCCGGAAGCTCCATCCATTCTAATTCCAGCACCAGCACCTTGACGAAAAACATCAATATGTCCAACTTGTGGTTCGAAATTTTTTTGGGGATCTTCACTTGTAATTTCACAATGAATAGCATAACCGTTAGTTCTTATATTTTCTTGTTTTAAATGTAAGTAATCGATTAATGATCGACCCTCAGCCATTTTTAACTGAGCTTGAACCAAATCAATTCCTGTAACTTCTTCGGTTGCTGCATGTTGAGGTGTTAAACAAGCGTTTACTTCTAAAAAGTAATATTTTCCCTCTGGAGTGACTAAAAATTCAAATGAACCTAAATCTTCATATTTAAGATGCCTACATATTTGTAAAGATGCGCTGATGAGATCATCTCTGGTTTTCTCGGGTAAATTCGGTGCTGGGGCGATTTCTAATTTTTTTTTATAAGCCCATTGTATCGAACCATCTCTATCGAACACATGAACAACATTCCCGAGTGTATCAGCCATTACTTGAACTTCTATATGCCTCACGTTCGTTAAAAATTTCTCTAAATATACAGATCCATCGCCAAAAAACGTTTTTGCATCATTTAATGTTTCCTGAATTGTATCATTTAATTTTTTCGGATGATCTATTAACCGAATCCCTTTTCCATGACTACCATATGTGGCTTTCACTAAAATCGGAACATCGACAGCTTTCAAAAATAACTGAGCTTCATCTAAACGTTTTATAACTCCCGTTCCAGGAATAACTGGTATTTGTAATTTTTTCGCAACTTCTTTCGCTTCAACTTTATTACCCAAAACTTTTAAAACCTCCGGCGATGGTCCGATGTATTTCAATCCTGCTTTTATAACAGCTTCGGCAAAATCCGATCTTTCAGCTAAAAATCCATGACCCGGATGTACAGCATCGACACCCGCTTCTAAACTAACTTTAACAATTTCATTAATATCTTTGTAAGCTTCTGCTGGATGCTTTCCAACTCCGATTAAATAAGTTTCGTCTGCTTTCAATTTATGTGATAAAACATTATCTTCAGGCGAATAAACTCCCACCGCTTTCACACCGACTTCATTGCATGCTCTAAAAATTCTTATTGCAACATCTCCACGGTTTGCAACGAGAACTTTATTAATTGATTTTACGTGGGCTGCAGCTGGTTTTACATCAGAAGGAGGTTTTACGTTAGTCGTAGTTTGTGTTCTGCGGCTTAACAAGAGTAATGTATGGTTGTTTTCAAATTTATTTAAGAACAATCTGCAGGATAGTAGCAGCATTTTTGGAGTGTTTGAGAACTAAAAAAATTTTAGTTGTAATCGATCAGAAATGTAAAAAGAGCTTAATTTACCTTCTAAACTCATGATTTATATAAACCCATAATAAGATAATTTTGCAAAAAATTTATAATTATTCAGAATTGTCAAACATTTCACAATTCCCGTCAGTTACCTTGGAGGACTTAACAAAAATTTGACAAACGCGTCAATTCACGTCAATGATGATCTGAATTTAAATTTAAATTTGCGATAAGAACCAAATCGATTGTGCTTTTCTTATTTAATTTAGCTTATAATACCATGTCCAGTCTACATGAGAGTAAGAATCAACATTTATTTATTTATTTAAATTCCTTGCAATTATTTTTGATATTGTTTCTAGTCGCAAAGATTTGTATATACGCTGTTATTATTTTAACATGCGTGAAATTAATACGAGGAGATCCTTTTGGAATTTTATTCGATAATAATTCCCCATACAAATGGAGTGGAGATGATATAACAGACTTCTTTTGTAGACTGAACATGTAATATTCAATTTTAAAAATAAAAAAATATCTGAATCAACTTTTTGGCATTTTTATACAACACTGATAAACTCAAGTTGCTAATTTCTGCTTAACCGGCGATAAAATAGTCAAGTTTATGTAAATCTTATCATGGCTACATCAAAGCTCCTCGAAATAATACCGAAATCCAATGGCTCAAGAAGGACGCAGACCACAATATGTGATAAAATTAGTTTTTCATGCAAGGAAGCTCAGGTATAAGTATTCCAGTAGCAAAACAGAGCAAAGTTAACTTTTTCAAATTCTGCATCATATTATATCCCAATAAGGTTGTCAGCTACAAGCAAAACGTAACAAAGTACTTGACCAAATAATAATAAGATATTTTGACTATTTAAGACTTTTTGACTGATGTGATTCGGTGAAAAACAGTGATTATAGTGTTAATGCAGCAGTGAATCAATTTTCACTATCAAATGCTGCAAACCAGGTAAGAGTATAAACAGTTTTGGCATATATCCTTTCATTAAAGAGATTCTAGTTCGCCTGACGTTGCCTGGCTTCAATCTAAACACACCTTAGCGATAAACAATAGTGGCAGAACTCCCATCTTATGTCAGGTTTGTTTGCACCGTGTTAGTACAGCTTGGCAAATCTATCTTGGACGGTGAAGGTCAGATGCGCCGTAGTAAACGGTGGGTGATACCTGCAGAGGTTAATTCTCTGTTATATTTTACAAAATGAAGAAGATAATACTCAAAAAAGTAGTAATGTATACATTGCAAAAACTAATTGAGATATCATCATGAAATAAAGAGCAATTTGCAGTAAATTTATTTAGTAATTAATGTATTGAAGATGATTTCTTCAAATCTTCAAATTTTGGAGTTTTGGTTTTTTAATTGCAACCTTGCATTATCTTCAACATAAACGTGCGGGTAGTTAATCTTGACGTATCTCAAAAACTAATTGAGATATCATTATGAAATAAAAATCAATTTAAAGCATATTTAATGAATATTTAATGCACTATAAATAATTTCTTATTTTCCATAATCATCGTTATTACAATTTTTTTAAATCCAACTCTGAATGTTTGATTGTTATAGATATGTAATATAAGTATTAAAAAATCGTATCTCAAGAACGAATGGAGATATCATCATGAAACAAAGAGTATTTTAAAGCAAATTTGATGAAGATTTAATGTGCCATAAACAATTTTTTATTTTCCATAAACATCGGTGTTATGATTTTTTAAACTCAACTTGGCATGTTTGATTATTCTAAACTTTAAGAATAGATGTTAAAACAATCGTATCTTAACAACTAATTGAGATATCATCATGAAATAAAAAGCAATTTGAAGTAAATTTATTTAGTATTTAATGTATTGAAGATCATTTCTTCGAAATTTCAAATTTCGGAGTTATGATTTTTTGATAGCAACCTTACATAAAGTAATATTGCAGTTCTTTAAGGTTTATTTTAGGTAATGGCACAGGCGTAGTTTAGGTGTCTTTAGATTTAAATCCATGCCAGGTTCCTTGATATATGAGAAAGACTTTTTCTCCTTCTTGTAGGGTCTGCTGTTCCCGATAAAATCTGCCTCTGAAATATCTCCTGTGAACTTAACTACCAGTTATCTCACCATCTTTTCGGCGATCTCCGTGGTAGGCTGGTTCCGGGACGGTTATTTGCAAGCACAATTTTTATACGGTTTTGTCATCTGGAATTTTTATGCTGAAATCTCTTCCCCATCTCACAATGTTCTGAACCCCGCATTAGTCTCTGATATCGGAGTTCTTAATTCTGTCCTATCTGGACTTTTTTGAAATTATTCTGGGAACTTCATTTCTGCTACTCATTATTGGGCGAATGCAGAATTTATCCATACGCATTAATTTCTTCTGCCAAGCAGTATTTCGTAAGCAAACTGAAATTGAGGACGCTTGTTGATCTGATTTCTGAGATCCTTTGCGGGATCATGAGTGCTTGAGATGTGTACAGGGTGTCCCAATTTCGATGTCCGCATAGGCTATCTCCGAAACTAAAAGAGATAGAAAAAAAGTAGCTTACATGTCATGATCTCGTTTTTCGAGAAAATGCTAANTCAGAAGGAGGTTTTACGTTAGTCGTAGTTTGTGTTCTGCGGCTTAACAAGAGTAATGTATGGTTGTTTTCAAATTTATTTAAGAACAATCTGCAGGATAGTAGCAGCATTTTTGGAGTGTTTGAGAACTAAAAATTAATTAATTTTAGTTGTAATCGATCAGAAATGTAAAAAGAGCTTAATTTACCTTCTAAACTCATGATTTATATAAACCCATAATAAGATAATTTTGCAAAAAATTTATAATTATTCAGAATTGTCAAACATTTCACAATTCCCGTCAGTTACCTTGGAGGACTTAACAAAAATTTGACAAACGCGTCAATTCACGTCAATGATGATCTGAATTTAAATTTAAATTTGCGATAAGAACCAAATCGATTGTGCTTTTCTTATTTAATTTAGCTTATAATACCATGTCCAGTCTACATGAGAGTAAGAATCAACATTTATTTATTTATTTAAATTCCTTGCAATTATTTTTGATATTGTTTCTAGTCGCAAAGATTTGTATATACGCTGTTATTATTTTAACATGCGTGAAATTAATACGAGGAGATCCTTTTGGAATTTTATTCGATAATAATTCCCCATACAAATGGAGTGGAGATGATATAACAGACTTCTTTTGTAGACTGAACATGTAATATTCAATTTTAAAAATAAAAAAATATCTGAATCAACTTTTTGGCATTTTTATACAACACTGATAAACTCAAGTTGCTAATTTCTGCTTAACCGGCGATAAAATAGTCAAGTTTATGTAAATCTTATCATGGCTACATCAAAGCTCCTCGAAATAATACCGAAATCCAATGGCTCAAGAAGGACGCAGACCACAATATGTGATAAAATTTGTCCAGTAGCAAAACAGAGCAAAGTTAAGTTTTTCAAATTCTGCATCATATTATATCCCAATAAGGTTGTCAGCTACAAGCAAAACGTCACAAAGTACTTGACCAAATAATAATATGATATTTTGACTATTTAAGACTTTTTGACTGATGTGATTCGGTGAAAAACATTGATTATAGTGTTAATGCAGCAGTGTTTTGGCATATATCCTTTCATTAAAGAGATTCTAGTTCGCCTGACGTTGCCTGGCTTCAATCTAAACACACCTTAGCGATAAACAATAGTGGCAGAACTCCCATCTTATGTCAGGTTTGTTTGCACCGTGTTAGTACAGCTTGGCAAATCTATCTTGAACGGTGAAGGTCAGATGCGCCGTAGCAAACGGTGGGTGATACCAGCAGAGGTTAATTCTCTGTTATATTTTACAAAATGAAGAAGATAATACTCAAAAAAGTAGTAATGTATACATTGCAAAAACTAATTGAGATATCATCATGAAATAAACGTGCGGCTAGTTAATCTTGACGTATCTCAAAAACTAATTGAGATATCATTATGAAATAAAAATCAATTTAAAGCATATTTAATGAAGATTTAATGCACTATAAATAATTTCTTATTTTCCATAATCATCGTTATTACAATTTTTTTAAATCCAACTCTGAATGTTTGATTGTTATAGATATGTAATATAAGTATTAAAAAATCGTATCTCAAGAACGAATGGAGATATCATCATGAAACAAAGAGTATTTTAAAGCAAATTTGATGAAGATTTAATGTGCCATAAACAATTTTTTATTTTCCATAAACATCGGTGTTATGATTTTTTAAACCCAACATGGCATGTTTGATTATTCTAAACTTTAAGAATAGATGTTAAAACAATCGTATCTTAACAACTAATTGAGATATCATCATGAAATAAAAAGCAATTTGAAGTAAATTTATTTAGTATTTAATGTATTGAAGATCATTTCTTCGAAATTTCAAATTTCGGAGTTATGATTTTTTGATAGCAACCTTACATAAAGTAATATTGCAGTTCTTTAAGCTTTAGGTAATGGCACAGGCGTAGTTTAGGTGTGTTTAGGTTTAAATCCATGCCAGGATCCTTGATATATGAGAAAGGCTCTTCTTTTTCTTGTAGGGTCTGCTATTCCCGATAAAATCAGCCTCTGAAATATCTCCTGTGAACTTAACTACCAGCTATCTCACCATCTTTTCGGCGATCTCCGTGGTAGGCTGGTTCCGGGAGGGTTATTTGCAAGCACAATTTTTATACGGTTTTGTCATCTGGAATTTTTATGCCGAAATCTCTTCCCTATCTCACAATGTCCTGAACCCCGCATTAGTCTCTGATATCGGAGTTCTTAATTCTGTCCTATCTGGACTTTTTTGAAATTATTCTGGGAACTTCTGCTACTCATGTATGATAATTCCACAACTTGTTCTATAGAGGTGTTGTATATTACCAGCTTACATGTTGTTGCCTCCCTTGTTACCACCATGCATTTAGCTTTTGAAGCAGAGATTCAGGGCTTTGTTCGCTCGATCTAAAAAACCGTATTGATTTCAATTTGCATTTTGAGCAAGAAAGATCCATCACAAAGATATCCTTTATTAACATAGTAAATAAAAGTCTAAAGTTGAAATAATAAATGTCACTCAAAATTATTTAATTTTTTTTTGACAAATTGGTCAATATTTCAAGGTAAATTTTAAGCGTTTTAAATTAAATATGGGCAGTCTTAGATCTAGTAAGTAAACTTTAAATTATAAAGATTTAACTGATTTAAATATATTTTAGTTGCTAAAGTATGTATTTACGCCTTCATAATAGTAACATGCCTGAGAATGATAAGAGGTACTCCTATGGGTTTATATGAAAATACCAGTCACAAAGAATTTTTTTATAAGAATATTTTATAAATAATGTACACAAGAAAAAAGTAAAAACCAATTTGTCTACGTATAAAAAATATATTTAATTATAACAAAAAAATTCATGGAAAAATTACAAAGGAAATAAAAGTATCTGTATAGAGGATATTATAACTTGTGTAAAAATTAACAACGAAATCTACAAATCAACGCATAAGTAGACGTGCGTCCCCAAGAAAAATATGAGGTCCGCACCCAAAAGTCTTCAAAACGTTCAGTAACACTTATTTTCTCTCCATTTCCATTTTTCTTTTATTCTACGGTAATCAACAGATCTTCAGCTTCTAATTTCATTCCCATTTTAATTTCAACCGTTTTCACTTTACCGGCCACGGGGCTTTGAACAACAGTTTCCATTTTCATGGCAGAAAGAATAACCAATGGAGTTCCTTTTTCAACTTTATCTCCAGGTTTAACCCTAACATCAATAACAGTTCCAGGCATTGGAGCACCAACTTGGGACTTGTTAGCTTTATCAGCTTTAGGATGGACGTGAATTTCTTTTCCAGCATCTTTATCTCTAATAAATACCGATCTCAAAGTACCGTTGAGTTCGAAAAAGACTTCTCTCTCTCCTTGTTCGGTAAGATCTTCGGCCATAGCTAACGTTTTAATTCCTAAAGTTTTACCTTTTTCAATGGTTACTTCAAATTCTTCACCTACTTTTGGTCCAACCAAAAACATTCTTGTATCTAATTTATCAACCGGACCGTATTGTTGGTGGAAAGCTAAGAAATCTTTTGTTACTTGAGGATATAAAGCGGCTGACATAACATCCATTTCATCAACAGTTGGGAAAACTTCTTGAAGCTCTTTCTTTAATTTTTCGAAATCAAATGGTGGCATTGATTCACCAGGTCTTCCATCAATTCTTGGCATATTCTTCAAGACTTTACTTCTTAAAGGTTCCGGGAATCCACCGTAGGGTTGTCCAATAGAACCTTGAAGGAACTCAACGACCGATTTAGGGAATGAAAGTTCTTCAGCTTTATCCATTACGTCTTGCGCGGAAAGTTTATTTTGTACCATGAATTGTGCAAGATCTCCTACAACTTTCGATGATGGGGTTACTTTGATTAAGTCACCTAATAAAATATTTGCTTCAGCATAAGCCTTTTTAACATCTTCAAAGAAATCTCCAAGACCTAAATAAAGAATTACCATATTAATAATGTTTTTAATAATATCAAGTTTTAGATTTTTTTAATTTACCTAAAGAATAAGCTTGGAATTGCAAATTAGTATATTGTCCTCCAGGAATTTCATTAGTATAAACATCAGCATTTCCTGATTTCATAGTTGTAGTACATTCAAATGGAGCATACAAGGTTCTTGTTTGTTCCCAATAAGCTGAGTATTCAGAGATTTTGTTAAGTGGGATTTTAGTATCGTGAGGAGTATCTTGTAAACTAGCAACAATTGCTCCCATACTCGGTTGACTGGTAATTCCAGACATAGAATCAACAGCAACATCAACAACGTCAGCTCCAGCTTCGGCACAAGCTAACATAGCAGCAACTCCAGCTCCACTAGTGTCATGAGTGTGAATGTGAATAGGAAGGTCTGGAAATTTGTCTCTGATAGCACCTACTAACATAGTAGCTGCTCTTGGTCTGAGTAAACCAGCCATATCTTTAATCGCTAAAACGTGAGTACCAGCTTTAACGAGTTCGTCAGCTAAAGTAAGATAGTACTTGAGATCGTATTTTTTCTTATTCGGATTACTAACATCTCCAGAATAAGAGATGGCAGCTTCAACGATTCCACCGGCTTTTCCAGCAGCATCCATACCAACGATTAAGTTTGGAAGATAATTTAACGAATCGAAAACACGGAAAATATCCATTCCGGCTTTAACCGAAAGATCGCAGAATTTATAAACCACATTATCAGGATAGTTTGTATATCCAACAGCATTAGCACCTCTTAATAACATTTGGAATGGAATGTTCGGGATTAATTTTCTCATCTCTTCTAATCTTTCCCATGGGCATTCGTGTAAGAAACGTAAAGCTACATCGAAAGTGGCTCCACCCCAATTTTCCATTGAGTATAAATTGCTGAAATTGTGAGCCACATACGGAGATACTTTCAAAAGATCGTGCGTTCTTAATCTTGTCGCCAATAAAGATTGATGTGCATCTCTGAACGTTGTGTCCATAAGAAGAAGTCCTTTATGATTCCTGACAGCTTTTGCAAAAGCTTCAGGACCTTGGTCTTTGTAGATTTGTCGTAAACCTTTCGGCGGTTGTATATCTATTTAAAAGGTATTAATTAGAATCATTTTTTAAAATATTATGTTGGTAGAATTGTAAAAAAAATCAAAATCATGCAATTTGAAAAAAAATAAAATAAAAAAACATGCAGAAATTAAAAAAAGAAAAACGGAAAATTTAGTTAATAAAAAATGAATACAAAATGAATTTTGCTAAAGCATATAAATATATAGATTTATTTTAGATTTAAACATTGATCTTTATAGGTAACTATTTTTTGTTTATATTTATACAGGTGTTTCAAAAGTGTTTTTGTGTTTAAAATTACTGTAATACTATCTTAATTTTTTTTTGCACAAGTTGCGTAACAAAATTTTTTTATTTTGTTGTTGGAATTACGATAAGTATCGGTGTTGATAACGTCTCCTGCTTGATTAACAAGGTGAGTCGTTAATGTCTTTGATAATATCTGGGACTGAACCACATTGAGCAAAAAGCCTCTTCACTTTGCCTTAACTACATGAATTAAAGTATACCAGAAATACCTAAATCATAGACAGCATCCACAGTGGACCTCTAGCTATCCTGGAGAGAAAGTTTAAGGATCTGTAAGAAATGAAGTAATAAAATGAAAGAAGAAGAAATGAAGAAAGCAGCGCACAAAAGTTGGGTAAAAGGCATCATCTGCAGAATTTGGGTCATTCGAGAGCATAATATCCATACTGTAAAGCAATTTGTATACTTGCGCTTACTGGTCTTTTCGAACAACAACACCGCCGAAAGAAGAGATCAAAAAGAAAATTCTTCTAGCAAAGTAAACTTTCTACTTTCTGATGACTCAATTAAGATCTGCCACTTTGACAAGAAGAACAAAATTTCAAATATATAAATCCATAATACGACCAGTTGTAGGGTATGGATGTTAAACTGGGGTAATGTACAAGAACGGCGAAAGATTGCTAACAACATTCCAAGGAAAGATTCTGCAGCACATATTTGGAGGCGTTATGGAACATGGCCTATGGCAAAAACGTTATAAACTTGAATTATGTACAGTGTATAGGGGTCCAGACATTGTCAAATGCATAAAAATGGTCGCTTGCACAGGCCAGCGGTCAGAAAAAGGCTTAGAAGATGGCCCAATCAATTATGACAGAAAGAAAGAGATAAATATTTAGACTCTGGACAATTTTATAGAAAAGAAGCAGCTCAGTTGGTGTTGACATCTACAGAGAATACAGGATACTAGACAGGTGAAACGAGTATGGTTAGCAAGAAAGCCAGAAAGATAAGGCAATAAACAAGATAACCACCAAAAGAGGAAAAACTACACAGAAAGCCTAACTTTTGGTTTACAGTAATATACAATAATATTAGTTGGTATTTATTGTTACACACCAACTAGGTATGTGACTACGAAAGTGCATACAATTACAATCGATGTAGTCAGTGATTATCACAGCGATAATTTCTTTCAATTTTTTGCAATACCAAATTGTAACGGTAATTTTTAAATATTTGAAACACCATGTATAAATAAAACACTATTTAAACATTTTGAAGCAACATATAATAAAAAAAGAAATTTACTTGGTCTGTCGTCTGCGGTGGCACTCAAGTACGCTGTAGGAAATAAAAACAAAGCTTGCTAATGAAAAGTGTTCAAAAACTACCTAAACATAAAATAAATGTATAGTAACACGTATAAAAGATATTACTTATTGAAGAAAGAAAAAAAAACGAAACATTTTTCTTGTTTCTTTTCAAAGAACCATTGAATTTAATCAATTCATTCATTGTTTCATTGTATGTATTTCAAAATATTGCGTTTTTTTTATCAACGTCATTCTAAAACCTGGTAAAAATACCAAATCAATAATGCATAAATTTCAAATATGTTCGTAATGAAAATAACCAAGGTTTTAGAATGGTATTTTATTCTATAGAAAAAATAATGAGTAAATTATTATGCAACAAGAAGCTACAGGTGGTCCCTTCTTCCTAAGCCTGTGTACTAAAATGATTGTGTAATAAAAATTGAATCATGCTATCTAAAAAAAACTTGCAAAATTAGTCACAAAAAATCAGAAAACTTCTATAGTTCTAAATAAAGGGTTGCATTAGTTTCTTAAGAGACTAACGAACCTCTTCGTTGACCAGCAGAATCCAAAGGCGCTGAAAAAATCTACACTTAATTATTTAAATATTAATGTTAACTCACATAAAGAATAACATTTAACGAAGCTTTTTAATTTTAAATAATCATCACGTACCTTTTGAAATTTCTGGGACATGTGGTTTAATTTCTGCCGGTTTATTTGGTGTAGCTAAAGGTGTTTGCGGTCCATTTACTAAAACTTGAGCGAGATAATTCAATAATTTTTGTGCTCTGTTTTGTGTTTGTGCAAAATTGAATAATTGAGGATTTTCATCGATGAAATAAGTATCAACGGCGCCGTTAACGAATTTTTGATTCTCCAACACGTTTAATAAGAAAGGAATGTTAGTTTTGACACCTCGCACTCTGAATTCTCGAAGAGCTCTTGTCATTTTTGCGCATGCTGATTGTAAGTCCTTAGAATGCGCTATTACTTTTACAAGTAAAGAATCGTAATATGGAGTAATAATTGCTCCTGCAAATGCGGAAGCACCATCCAAACGGATACCCATACCTTCACCAGATCTAAATACTTCGATTCTTCCTGTATCGGGTTGGAAATTTTTAGCTGGATCTTCAGTAGTTACCCTGCACTGAATAGCAAAACCATTTGTACTTATCGATTTTTGGAATAAACCTAATTCAGGAAGAGTCATTCCTTCAGCGACCCTAATTTGAGATTGAACCAAATCAACTCCTGTTATTTCTTCAGTGACTGTATGTTCTACTTGTAATCTAGCGTTTACTTCAATGAAATAAAAGTTTCCTTTTTCGTCCGCCAAAAATTCAACGGTTCCAGCATTGGAATAACCAACGTGTTGAGCCAATTTAACAGCATACTCAGTCATACGATCGCGAACTTTAGGATCTAGATGTGGTGCAGGAGCTAATTCAACAACCTTTTGATGTCTCCTTTGCACCGAACAATCTCTTTCGTATAAATGTACAACGTTTCCGGCTTTATCACCTAAAAGTTGTACTTCAATGTGTCTCGGACGTTCGATGAATTTTTCGATAAACATGGAACCATCGCCGAATGCTGATTTAGCTTCCGAAGAGGCTCTCACGAAATTCTCTTCAACATCTTCCATTTTCCGAACAACACGCATACCTCTACCTCCACCACCGAAAGCAGCTTTGAAAATAACTGGAAGACCGTGTTTTGCGCAAAATTCTTTTGCTTCTTCTTTAGTTGTAATAGGCCCATCAGTTCCAGGAACGATTGGAACTCCAGCAGCTATCGCAGCCGCTCTCGCAGCTACTTTATCACCCATTTGTTGTACAACTTTCGGAGATGGCCCAATAAATCGTATTCCAGCATCTTCAACAGCTTGTGCAAAATCTGATCTTTCAGAGAGGAATCCATAACCAGGATGAACCGCGTCAACACCATTATCAACGCAAACTTTAATAATTTCCGGAATATTTAAATAAGCCTGTACCGGAGGAAGACCTTCTCCAACCAAATAACTCTCATCAGCCTTTAATCTATGAGTTAACAACCGATCTTCTTTAGAATAAATCGCAACCGATTTTATACCCAATTCGTTACAAGCCCGGAAAACTCTTACAGCAATTTCTCCTCTGTTTGCTACTAAAACACTTCGAATCGGTTTGTATTCGACCGATCGAGTTGGCTTGGACGAGTACGATCTCGATTGCCATCCCACAGCCCTTCGTCCTGCACAACCTGTAACCAACCTAACCAGCATCTTTCTGGCGGTGTTGTCTCTTTATCTGCAACAAAATAAAAATGTCATTAAGATCTTGGCTTTGATAGGCGACCAGTTCTATTTATAAATGAAAATGAGTCTCGAATCGAGGTACTTCTAGAGATGGAACCGGTAACCCAATGACCACGTCTTTTAATAAAACAGTGCAACGACACTTTTAGAAATCTAATGTATTTATAGTACATTCGAAGCAACGAATGAATTGAAGATTTAAATTTAAAAAAATATATGAATGTAAAATGAGTTACAAGTACAGCTGTTTTTTTTATTTTGGTCTTTAATATCATGTGTTTATTATCCCGGAAGTGTGTAATTATGGGGTTTAAGCTATAAATAAGTAAAATAATTGCGTTTTAGTTGATACAGCGCCTTATGTATATCCCACAATCCATCAATGTACAGAAGAATGTCCTATGAATAATGTAAAGTTATGATGCTAAGCATGACGTTAATTGAGCTTACTTTGGCGAAAAGATCAAATAGAGTATCATAAAACTTTGTTGATCAACAAATAGTGTCATGTTAACTTTAACTGAGAGTTAATCAACAAAAAGCATGGTAGAGTTAAGTCAATATGGATGTTATAGATCTTAGTCATCATGCTGATTAACTTGATGTTAATCGAGTCATAACTCTGTTAACGTCACGATAAATCAAATGGGGATTATAAAATATTCATTTATTGATAGTATAATCGTAATTAAAGGATTGATTAAAGGTGTATTAACACATCATTAACTTCAAATGAACAGTAATTAATCGCAATCGTAATTGTGTGTTCTAAAACCAAAGTTAAACGATTGCTAATTAAATAATTCTTGATGACGTCGTTAATCGTCGATAATCGGTAAACTAATGTCAGGTTAAGGTTAACCGAATATTAATATCTAGCTAATCAAATAATTACCGTAAAATTCAGAAACTCAGAAATTTCGTTATATTAAGTCCAAAATGAATTTAAACTTAATCAAGTTTTAATCGAAGGTTAACATTATCGAACCTTAATCATCAGGTAGCGTCATTTTAACTTAGATACGGTTTAATAAAGTTTGATTATTGCCGCGTTAGCTTAAAATGCAAAACTTTGATGACGTCAACGTTCGCCAATATCTGGAGAAAATCGATTTTCCAAGGACAACACAAATTGGTGCAGTACAAAATGGTTAATTTTCTACTTGTTGGAAATAATGCTGGTGCAAACGATGCTGATAAAATTAGGTCGATTTGGAGCATTTGAAGAAAATCGATTTGACCGGCTGTTTTTGACATGTTTAATATTATTTGACTGGGTGGATTGGGGAGAAAATTAATTTCAAATGCGACCAGCTTAGGTTCGGGTCTGTAACAATTCTTATTTGTTATGTTTTTGGCATTTTCAACAAGATCCTTTCTGTACTCAAGATCTTGGGTTAAATATAAATTTAAATTCAAATATGTCATTAACAAGCAAACTACATTCAAATGACCTTGCGTGTAATAACAAAACGTACTTTAAAAATAATTCAGCAATTATGTATTCGTTGAATCAAAATAAACCACTTGAACATAAAATTCAAAAGATTTTAATTTTAGTGAAATATGTTTTTAAAAAAAGTAACAAATACAAATTTGAATAGATATTGATAATGATTTTACTAAAGAGTGCATTACAAACATTTACTCGGCTAAAAATATAAACGTTTATCTCATCAGAACCTCTTGTTTCCATGTTAAATTTCATATACAAACATCGAAATGCTTTGTTTGGTCATTATATTATTGTGGTTACGAAATTATCGCTTTTGTTGCACATCTGGAAAGAGCAAAAATCAAAAGTGAAACAGTTCGAAGTGAAATACCGAAAGACCTTGGTTCAGATACTAAATAGAGTCTAAAGTAATAATTATTTTGAAATGGGTTATTAATTAATTTTTTTTTCAATTTATGATTATATGATTCAACTCGTTCCTTACGAAATAACTGTGACGTAAAAATGTTAAAGTCCGTTGCCAAAAATTTTTTCCTCGATTCTATTTATAGATTTTTTTTTATTTCCCCATCTATTCCCTGACCTTTGCCCGTTTCAATCTGAACATCCAACTCGCATGCCGCAGGTTCAGGGACGGTTGGAGAAATTTTGATCTGGTTGTTCAAAAAAGATGCTCGCTGCCAAGTCGATTATACAGGTAGAAATTGTTGGCCAAAATTTCTTGAAGCGTAGGTTATTTATTATAATCACATTGTTTTGATGGAAACAAACCAAAAATGTACAAAAAAAATACATTTTACGTTTCAAAATTATGGTATAAATAGAATTTGAAATAACTTTATAAATATTCATTATAAATTAATTTTGAAAAGATTATAAACAAGCAAATTTTTTTATTAAAACGATATCTAGTTAAGGTTCAAAATGCAAATTACAGCAAAACACGTTTATCTTTGGTATTTTCGAAATAATTTCAAACGTTTATATTGCAGATTATTTCCTGATTTTAAATTTTTAACAACTTAAAACTATTTTCCCAAATCATTTTTAATATCTATTTATTTACACTATTTTTAGACACGTTGAGTAAATATTGTTATGATTCCCCACACACTTTTGATAAGACGTGGATCACGTTTGACTTTCTTTTTTCAAATTAAATAGTAGTTTTTTCGAATTTTGTCAAGGACGATATTACATCAACAACTTATCATTAACTTTTATCAAAACAGACATATTTTACACAATAATAACTCTTAAAAACTATTTAAAGTTATATAAAAGTATTTGTTTTTCCTCAAAAAAATCGAAAGTGATATTTTTACGTTGCATTTGTAATTCAAATTACCTCTATGTACATAGAAAGCAATTTCCAAGTATAATTTCTCGAGTTATTCAAAACATTTCCGAACATTATCCATTTAAAAACCAAAATATAAATCTAATCTAGTTTTTATTAAATAAATTACGCCTAACTCAATTGGAACTAAATAGATGAATTACATAATTGAAAGTAGCAAACAACTTTTTGCTCCAGGATAAAATAAAATGAAAAAAGGATCCCACATCTCAACTTGAAGGTTAACGTCAGGCCAATCGATACATGACTATGGAATCCAGGGTTAGTGTGTCAGGGGCGGTAAATGTGTTAAGTAAACAAGAACACAAAAGAGAAAAAATCAATAAAATACATAATAAATCAATATTATTTACAGCGATATTGATTTTATTTCTTAAACAGATTGAACTTTGTGTTCAAAAACAAATTTTATCGATACACGAGCAAAAAAAATCTCCATCAAAATTTAACAAGTTTAGCTCATTATCAATTAAAACGAAAAAAATCTTTGTTTTCCACTCTTCTGACCCCTAATTCATACAAAGTTCAAAGTCTTTCGTTTGAAAATGTTGATTAACTCCATTTAATTAAAAATCCACTTTATTGTTATTTCAAAATTAAAACCCAATAATCAATTGAAATTAAATGACTTTTTTATTTAATTCTTACCAAATTATTTATTTCTTTTAATGTAAATTACTTTGGTGTCTTAAGTTTGGAACGAGCACCTCAACAACACACGAGAGACAACACCGAACTGCCGTGGAGATGTGGAGGTGTGTTTTTTCATTCGGCCTCCAAATTCGAGCGCTTGCGCTCCATTCATGAATATATAGAACCATAAAACGTGAAGCGAATGTTGAAGATGATGGGTCGAAGTACTCTTTGTAGATAAAGAAAATAAATTAAGATTATTTAATAGACAGAAAGACTAACATCATTAAAATCATAAACATTATCTCATCAAGATTATCTGTAATAAAAAAATTGTTTAGACATGACAAAAACACTTCTTTCTGATAAAGCTAATTCTCTTAAGACTTTCCGGATCAATCGAAAAAAATTTGATAAGGAAACATGAGAGATATGCCGTAATTAAGATTATGTATGTACTTATGATAAAAGAGTGGATTCGCTAAATAGAACCTTTGAGCGGTGATCAGAAGGTTTTACTTATCAAGTTTTTGAATTTTTGCTGAGTCTTTGGGGGTAACAAAAAATTATCTTTGCTAAAAATAACCTAATTGAGACTGAGTTAATATATTCAAAAAATGTTTTATTAAAATTTATCTACAACAAGATAAAAGAATGAAATATAAATAAATTCAAGTTTTTATTTTATGACAACCAATTTAACCACTGTGTTTATTAGGTTGTTTAACTATTTATTTCTTATAAAATTTTTAAGATACTAAACAAGGATACTAACCTCCATCAATATCAGCTAGCTTAATTACTACTTTCAATGAGAGGTGCCCATGTGCGGTCACTTATATCCAAAGGCACTCATTTCAAGGTCTTGCAAAGAGGAGAAATTGCACAGGATGTGTTTAATCGTCTTGTCGCTATAACTTCTTTATCTTACCTTGACCTGTAACAAGACCCACAATAACGCGAAGGATTCTTTTTTCAAACCTTAAAAAGAATAGGTTCGGCTTAACAGAATGATAACATAATAATTACTAAGACAGCTGGCACTATTTTATTCTACCCCACCAATCTTGAAGCTTCTCGCGTGTGATGATGTTGATAAATTGTGCTAAGTTGTGTAGCTAAAAGTAAAGTCCGGCAGAGAGTTCCCAAGAAAGTTAGGGGGAAGGAGTTTCCAAGACAGATCAAGGATGAAGTTCGTAGTTGAGTTAGCAGTGACTTTTTGAGTTGCAGTTCGGTCAAGAGCTAGAGTTCTAAGAGTGGGGTACGGCAGAGTGTTCCAAAAAGCAAAGATGGAGTGAAAAGTTGAGTTGGAATTGGAATTCGAGTTCAGGGTTCGACGGAAGAATTTTTCCAATGATATTCCTAAATAGTTTGATCTTCATTAGGTTTAAACCAGTCATTGCTTAACGCAGATGTCCATGGATCGAGTGCCGAATATACCATCTTGACTTCCTCCCAATCCTTTGGAGGAGATGTTAAACCGTTAGTCTCACTATGTCAGTTATCATTACCACTCATCTGCAGGGAGGTTTAAATAACGTAGAGTTGCGCTAGTACTCTCTGACCTCCAATTCGCTGAGATATACACGAATGCTGTTAAAGGCTCTAAAAGCAGCGAGACCAGGATCTGAGCAGCGAAACTTTGTCATCGACGATGAAGCGATATTATTAAAGCAACTTGTGTAAATTCTTCCTAGGACCCCCGCTCAAGAGGCCTAAGTGACGCGTAAAAGATATGCAGTCCTAAACTCCTATATCTTTTTTACACATTCAATAAATAAGCTTAAATAAAGAAATCGGCAAGGAAATGGTATCAAATCATGCGTGGCTCAAGTTTGAAGGAATATTCCGTGTTAAATTCTACCTCGAGATAATCCGAAAAGTACTCTGGAAGTTCCTGTGGAAACAAAACCAATGTCTGGGTATTAAAAAAAGTGTTCAAAATTAAAAATCTTTGATAGAGATCATATGTCATCATTTTGAAGAACTTGAAATATGAAGTTCTGGTCACAAATTTCCTTACTGTAACACTTGGTTGCTCTTTTTCTATAATATTAATTAATAATGATTAATATCATAATATGTTTCAGATATTAAGAAGGAAGAGATTAAGATCTGTATTCACTGTTATTGCCAAATTTAGCTTATGGATTAACAATTATAATTATAATACACAAACCCAAACACCAATACTTACAACTTACCAAGGAAATTAAATATTGTGTACATCTTGGGTGTAACATTAACATTAGCTTACCTGTTAAGAACAGAAATATAACTACATCATTGAGAATCCTAACACACCATTCGGTGTCTAGAGAAAGTTAACTATTTAATTATAGGCTGTTTTATTAGTCACTATATAATTATTACCTACTAAAATCTTAACATTAAAAAATAGGTGTTAAAGTGGTAAAATTTGGGAGTGTTAGAACATAATCAGTCTTTATTAGTTGCGTAGGTAATCAAAACCTCCAAAAAAATTGTAATATTTCCTACCTAGAACTAGAAACATTCGGATTTAGCCATCTTAAGAGACATACGGCAAGTGTGAGTGTAGTTCTAGGTCTAGTGTGAGTCCTACTCTTAGTTCAGCAAAAACATACAACAATCTAACGCTGAATAACAATTAAAACTGAAGGTAACATTAGCACTGGAACTAACACTAGACCTAGAACTAGAAACATTCGAATTTAACCGTACGTCTTTTAAGACGGCTAAACTCGAATGTTTGTATTTCTAGGGCTACTGTTAGATCTAGTTTTACTTATTATGCGTTGATTGTTGTACAGGTGTCCCAATTTCCTTTCTATTAATCTATCTATTAATCTATCTAATAATCTATCTATTAATCTATATAATAAGCTACTTTTTGTGTATCTCTTTTAGTTTCGGAGATAGCCTATGGGGACAACGAATTTGGGACATACTGTACATTAAGCTTAATATGTATATTAAGCACTAGAACTAACACTACACTTAGAACTAGAAATATTCGCGTTCTAACAACTGACTAAGCGCGACACGTGATGTAACATATTGGTCTAATACTGACGTCATTTTCTGGATTACAAAAGAACAAAGGATATAGCAGTCCTTTTAAATTCTACCTTTCTTGGAAATAACTCAAGCGAAGTCAATACTTGCTTATAAGTTAGGCAACCAATGTTACATTTTTCTGTTGGTTTATAGGTTATCTGTCAATTTAAAAATTTAGTTTTAAATATTTGATTATATTTTTACATTTCCATCAAAACAAACTATCAACAATCAACAATATAAACCAAATTCACAAATAAAAGATATTTTTTATTAAAATTCACTAAAAAATCAATCTTTTATGACCTACATATAACCAAAACATAACCTCAAAATTGTGCACAAATCCAAATTTGGCACAGTGCCATGCAACTCAAATCATTAAAAACACCTTTTAAAAATGTCTAAGAAGTACCGATATTTTCTCTACGGCGTAATAATTCTAACAATAGTAGTAATAGTGTATTTTTTAAGTATAAGTAATAAACAAGAATCCTTTGTAACTCAGCCTTACGATGTAGAGCTAAATGATTATAATCGACGCGATAACAAAATGTTTGATTTGAACTTTTCGTATACTATAAACACACGAGGTTGTCAAGATAACGATGATTACTTAGGAGTTATCATAGTAACTTCATATTTTGGTAACGTTGAAGTGAGAAGTGCGATGAGACGAGCTTTTAGCGGAGAGGAATTGAAAGAGTTAGGATTAAGAAGGGTATTTTTACTTGGTGAAACGAAAAGTGATAAGTTTTTAACACAAGAGGCCTTAGAAAATGAAGCGGAAAGATTTGGAGATATTGTTCAAGGGAATTTTCACGAAGCTTATAGGAATTTAACTTACAAACATATTATGGGATTAAAATGGGCTTCAACCTTTTGTAGAAATGTTAAATTTGTTATTAAAATGGATGATGATATTGTTATTGATGTTAAAAAAGTTTTAAAATTACTTAATAATAGTAACATTATTGTTGATAATTTTTTAGCAGGGCATGTCTTAAAAAACATGCAGCCCAAACGTGACCCCGCAAATAAATGGTACGTTTCATTTAAAGAATATCCAGACAATTATTACCCACCTTTCTTATCCGGGTGGTTTTATTTTACAACTCCAAAAGTTGCAGAAAAGTTAGTCCAAATTTCCAATCGAAATCGCTACTTTTGGATAGACGATCTCTATGTTACCGGCATATTAGCGCGAAATTTAAACGTATCTTTCATCAATTTAAACCATTTATTCGCCGTCCACACCGAACTTTTACAATGTTGCTTAAGAGATTTACCAAACATAGATTGCGACTTTATTGTTGGCCCTAACGGCGGCGATAATAACATGTTTTATCAATTTAATAAATTATCCATTGAGTGTCAAATCAAAAATTGTACTCAAAGAATTACCCCGTTAGATAAAACTTGCGTTTTAGAAAAACATTTTATTAATACATCTAATGGAAGTGCTGTGATTGAACCATATAAGTTAGTTGGGTAAAAGTGCTTTATTTATAATAAATAAAATTCTTCAAAAGTCTATTTAGGTAATTATGTTAATATTTATAGAACTTTTATATTCAGAATGTGTTTTATTTAAAATAAATAATAATAACAAGAAATATATGTTATTCTAAACATATTTTAGTTACTCTCGCGTTTCTTTTTTGTATAAACTCCCATAAAATCAGTTCCAGATAACTGATATGGTCCATGATTTTCCTTTAAAATCCATAAAGTATCAATAATTTGTCCATCTTTATCATCAGAAACTTGTTCCAGATACAAATGCGTTTCATTATACGCTTTCAATCGCGTATATCCATAATCCGAACTTGTAAATGCTGACCATTCAGGTCTTGGAACTGTAAAATTATCCCGCCCTTCCTTACATCCAGCAGAACCAGTTACAATATGGACTGGAGCACCTGGATTAGTATAAGGTTCATCATAACTCCCATTAAACACTTTATAATCATAAATAGGCCACAATCGTTCATACGAATGCTCATGAGCCCAAATAACTAAGTCAACCCCATAGTCATACAACAATTTTTCCAAACCAAAGAAATGCAAAAAAGGTAATCCAACTCTTGTTAAAGTTTCATGATGAGTACAATCGTCTTTGTCTGTATTTGAACAATACATGGGGCGGTGTCCCATTACAATAATCCAAGGTTGGTTTTCACGATTTTCTGGCAAATTTGCTTCAATTAAATCGTTTTCAAGCCACTCATATTGAAAAGCTAACGGCTTTAAACCATAGTTTAAAAAGTAAAAAAGTTCAGTTGAAATTGAAATGATATGTAGTGGCCCTATGTTAAAACTGTAAAAGGGATCGTCATGCTTATTTGGCATTGAAAACCGATTAATGTAATTACTAAAATTGCTAAAAAAAGAAATAATATAAATAATTAATATTTTTAAGATTTTAATGTTGGTAATAAAGTAGTAATTTTATTATAAAATTTTTATAACTTACTAATTTTCTTCATGATTTCCAGGACAGGTCATATAAGGTACATAAGCTGCTATTGATTGGATTTGTCTCATAAATTGATCACCAATTTGGGCATTATGCTAAAAAAATTTATTTTTAGATTACACAGTTGGTACCTATTAGTTTTGACACTTTAAAATTTAAAACGTTTTTTAAACATTGTGTTATGTTTCAAAAGTGCATATATCATGAAGAAGAACTAATAACAAGCAACAAAAGGTAAGATAAAATTAACTTACAGTATCCATATCATACGCAAAATCTCCCACATGTAAAATAGTATCATATAAACCTCTTTGTGCTTCTTCTTGCAATCGACCTAAACTTTGAGCATTTTCATTGCCCATATCACCAAAAATTGCTAATGTCGGTTGCCATGTTTCACTATCCGGGGGTGTTTTAAACCAAAACTCTGCAGACCAACCTTGGTCGCTTCCACAATGATACACTAACCCAAAAAATATTTCAGAAACAACATTTTAATAAAACGTAATACTCACCATAAGTATTTCCTGGTGTTAATTCAGATAAAACAACACGATGGATATATTGAGTACGTTTTTCAGATCCCCCATCAACGAACATAGTCGAATATCCTTCAGATCTTAGTACGAGTCCTCCAATTCCATATTCAACAGCAGAAAATTTCGTGTCATTCCAAGTGGACCAGGTAACAACAATTTCTGATACATTCTTTCCATAGGATAAATGTATTTGTTCCGGTTGGAAATAAAAAATTTGCTGTAGAGATTCTTGAAGGTTCCCCAAGAAGAATAACAACAACAGGCTTAAATGAATACGTTTCAAACGACAGTCCATTTTAACTGGACGAAGTTCTTAGATATTCTAACGTTAATCATGCTCCGTTCTTTGTGAAAAAGCGTGACGAATACAAACACTCATATAGTTGTGACATTATTGACGTTTATCTGTTTTGTTGAAATAATTTTTGACCTTTTGCTTAAAATAATGTTTGTTTCTCAAATTTGTCGTTTTCTTGTTTGTTTTTAGGCTCGGTTCTTGATAGTTTATCTTTGTACGGTTGTAATCGAGTTCAAAGCTTCTTTTTGTATTGATTTTTGGTCGTATGATTAACACAGACCAATAAAGATTTAAAACGAAGGTTTTAAAGAGGGGATTTTCAATTGAATAAATGGACGTTTAAAACGTTTTGAATCATCGTTTAATTGCTTTAATTAAGATTTATTAAGAAGTAAATGGATAAAAATTTGAGGTTATATTTCCTTCAACAATCATTTATTAAGTGCAAAAATTATACATAGTATAAAAAGTGGTATTTATCACAATCTAGATATTATAATTACGGAAAACACCTTTACTGTAATTAGTAACATACCATAAATTCACCCTAAAAGTAATACACACAAAATAAAATTAATTTATGTGTTAAGAATTGTTTATAATTTTGCTTGCAATTTTTCACGAGCGTTAACCATCCCGGCACTATCCAATTGCTTATTTAAAGCGTCCAAATATTCTTCAGGGTGTTTTTGCATGTGGCCCACATGGGGAGAATCATCAAAACATTTCCAAGTCACCTAAAAAATTAAAATAATTTCGTAATCCCCTTCTTTTATGATAAATTAAATCTTACTTTCATTCCAACGCTTTCCCAACTATCTCTAACTCTTACATTTGAAGTTACAGCACCAACTGGGTCCTTCTTACTAATAAAAAATAGAGCCGGCGCATGAACCATGTTCGTATGAAACATTTGACTAGCTCGAATATAATGGCAAGTAGCAACTTTATCGAAAGTTTTTAAGTGGTATCTACAAAAATATTAATTTTGAATTTATATTTATAAACGTTTGAGCGGATATACATCATATATGATCTTAGAGCTGTTTGCATAACTTTGTTTCTGGGGAAAACAGCTAAGGGAACCCCAATTGGGATTTCAGTTATATCAGCTGCGCTGTCCCAAACTTGAGATGTTATACGGTCTACTATTGGTTGATATCTTTGCCTCTCTGCTGCAATTCTTACTAAAACTTCACTCCATAGGTATGCTCCAATTGAGAAACCATGGAGGGTTAATGGGGCGTAACTTGGATTCGAATCCAAAAATTTTAATATGTCGCCTGCTACTACCTAAAAAGAGAAAAATATGACGTTAGATGTTTCTTTTTTGTATCTTTGATGGTAAACTTTCAGTGTTCATCAGTTTGTGTATACTAATAATTATAAACTATTAATAAAGCAATAACTTACAAATAATTACTAAAACTACAAAGTATTACATTATTTCTAGTGGATTAATGAGATAAAAGAGCATTGCTGTCAAGGTCATTAAAGATAAAATGGAGAAAATATATACGTTTTTTTTTTATAACCGATTATGAAACTAATTGTATAATTAACAATTGATGCGCATTTGCATAAATTCTGTTATTATCCTGTTATTATATTATCACGTGCGTTAAGCAATTCAACGATTATACCCTGTATTTACATAAACACCTCTATGCAAAAAAAATTAATGTTTGATAAGCAATAGGACGAACCATGACTTGAAGATTTTTATTTGAATATTTAGATTTCTATGATTAAAAAATTGATATAAATTTATAAAAAATTCTTACTTTAAATTCTCTATGCATTATAATAAATCTTGTGGAATGCTATGAGGCAAGAAGACAGATGGGGTGGTTAAGAGGAAATACAAAAAGGGCAAACAAAGAGGGAAGAAAGCAAAGGAACTGGGCAGAAACAGAAAGAGAAAGCATCGGGTGGATATAAATAGCAGGATATCTCTGAGTATATTTCATGGAATAGTTTATGTATTACATTTCCTGCAATTAGCGGAGGGATGTGGACAGGAGAATGGGGAAAAAAGGTGCAGGGGAGATCGATGTGGAGAAATTGGTAACGATACGGACGCAGTTGAAGAGAGGAAAGGTGGCTGGGGCGGATATAACTGAGGATATCATAGAGAAATTTTTGAAAACTTTCAATAAGATTAGAGAAAGGAATTCTCTTAGCAGTGGGTTAGCAGCGGGTCGGAATTATACAATTATACAAAGTTATAGGGGGATAAATCTGTTGAATACTGCATAAAAAATATATGCAGGAATACTGGGCGAAACGCTGAAAGAGGAGACTATAGACAAAATATTCGTATTGAGATACTTGCTGAACAGGGTACTAAATAAAAAAGGAGGAAAGAACGGAGAAAAAAGATACATTCGTTGACATATGCAGATGATATGGTGATGGTGCTAACAGAGATAAAGAGATGAAAGGGATGATGAGATCAATGGAGACATCTTTTGAGAGGAAGGATTTGGAGGTGAATGTTGAAAAGAAGAAAATTATAAAATTCTCTAAGAGCGGAAGACGAAAAAAGGAGAAGTTGTGAACGGAAGAAGGGAGAGATGGGGAATTTAATACCACTTACGTACATATTACATTAGGCAGAGAGTTAGAAAAGCAAGTAGATTATTGGGGCAGATGTTTGATAAAAACGGAAAACAATGTTTGATGGATTGGTTAAGAGTATGATAATGGAATAATAATAATAATAGCGGAAATATAGGGTTGGAAGGCACACAAGATGGTGGAGATTACAGGTGGGTTTTGAAGTTGAGCAGAAAATCTCCGGGATATATGTATAGCGAGAAAAGACTTGAAGCTAGAGAAGATGATAGTGGAAGCTGGCAGAAGGGCGATAAAGTTAGTGGTTGACTTGGAGCAGAGGAGCGACTTCAAGATTTTTAGAGAGTGTTGGAGGGAGGTTAAGACTGGGGTGTGAAATATGGAAGGGAATATTATATCATAGTTATTAACAGAGGAAATACAAAGAAGGAGAAGGGAAGGGACAACACTGGAGAGTAGAAATAAAGATGTGGAAAAGCAAGAATGGGAGATACAGTAATAAGTGTAAGATCATAATAATGGAGGAAATTCCGGGGTACTTGATGGAGGACGGGAAGGAAAAAGTATGGTTACTCGATTTAGGTGCGGAAACAAAGAGTATGGAGTGGGAGCGCATACTGCATTTAGGAGAAGAGAGCGGATGGCAGAGATGCTGCAGAAAAGGAGCAGGAGAGGCAATTAGTGCGAAGTTGCATGTTATGTATTATATCTATTGTGTTCCACTTGTAGACAGAAAGTAACAATATAAGATATTATACAGGGTGGTACAGTTTTTAATCGAGAAAACTTTACTAGGACGTAGTACTTGCCAAAATAACACAACTTTTTTATATAAACATAGGGTCGGAACTCTTTTCTTTTCGAGCTATGAGCTGTCAAAGTTGAGCCAAAAATTTACATTTTATCTTTTATTTCTGGTATAAGTAAACCGTACAATTTGAAATTTTGTATGTATGTACTACCGGTTAATACCTTATTTTCAATCATACCTTAAACTTCCCTAGCGCCTTCTAAAGGGATGAAATTTACAACCCCTTTCATATAACACCAATTAATTGTGATTTTCATAAGAAAAAGATAAATAAGATGAATGTCTGTCTGAACAAATTACGTTGTTTTAAACAATATTACAAAATTGATACTCTTGCTTAATAACAGTCAAAAATTATTAATAATCATCAACAATTATGAGGATTCGCCGTAAATGAAACTTACAAGTTCTCAGAGCCAACTTTTAGAATAATTTTAGCTAAACATGGCACATAAACATGGCACAATATTTTATTTTTTTACACTGAAACTATTAACTTTAAGGAAAATACTAAAGAGACAAAAAAGTACCACTAATGAATGAGCTTCACAACCCATATTTTTTATGTTAATATTCTATAACGCACTCAAAGAGAAGTTTGTACACTGTTCAATAATATTTAGCTGGATACACAAATCACACAGTATCCAAAATATTAAAAAAATTCTGTAACACCGGAATTGTTAACATTGACGAAACTACATTAAATGTGTATCACTGTACCCATAATACCCTTACATCATTAATTTTTCATAATTGTTGAAACTGTCATTTTTTTGACATTTAAAGCTTTCAACAGCATAATTACGAAGCCTACTTTGATTGTAATTTGCTGATTTAATATTTTCAGAAAACACATTTTTTTTCTTATACCACCATATGACTTGATATGTTCATCGCGTAGAGGCATTTATCCTTTATCAAAATATGCAAAAAAAACATATGCATCGCATTTAAACTAACAATGTTGGTTGCTATAGCAACGAAACAAAACAACCATACAAACAAACAAATATCTCCAAAAAGTGCGCCACAATTAATAAACAAAGTTGTATTTGAAACATTTTTCTTCAAAACCATAATGGCGCAGTTATTGACTATATTCCAGACAATTGACACACCCTGTATATTATGAATCCTGTCACCATAAGAAATTACATTGTAGATTTAAACCTTTGTAAGAAGGATAAAACCAAGTTACATTTAAATATATTTTAGAAAAGAGCAAAATCTACTCCTATCTTGCCAAAAACATAACAAATAATAATTAGTTTATATTTGAGTCAGTTTATATTGATTATGCTAAATAATTTAGTATCATACTATTTCCATGATCAAGAATAATTCGTTTAATGTCTTAACACATTTTTGGTAGCATTTATATTCAAAATTTCTGCTATGTTAATATCAAATCTACGACATTTCGGCACATTCTGCTAATATATAGTTTGTATTTCCTTTTATACAGTAAATAATCCTATAAATAACAATTGTTAATTAGATGAAGAATCTTCCATAGTGAAGTTTCTCAAAATACAACTTCAAATAATTTTGAAAAATCTAAATTATTCATAAATTCAAAAATGTATACATAGTTTTTATTTATTATTACAAATTAAGTTTTTTATCATCAATCCTAACAAAGAAATTGTTTATATTTAAAAACAATGCAGGAATACAGTTACTGATACCATTGTACTGATAGTAGGAAACTCATTGAAATTCCATTACTGGCTATTAAATACCATTTGCATTTTAAATATGCTCAATGACAAAATATAACAAACGCCTTTGAGTCATTTTCGTTCATTTCATTATTAAATTAAATACCACATCTTACCTGTGTTCCTTTAACAGGCCAAAGTAGTTGCCATGGCGTAACATTAATGCTTAACACATCAAAACCTTTATCGATATAAAACTTGGAATATTTATATATATGCTTATTTTGTGCCAATAACCAAACAGGCATCACCACCAAAGGTCTATTTTGTGGAGGAGTTAATTTTAAATTTTTAATAGTAACACCCTTTTTTTCATCGCTTATTAAAGTAATATTTTTTGTTAATTCCAATGTTGATAAAGCCCTCATATTTGGGGCATTAATAACCAACGTCATCTGTAACAAAAAGACGATTACAACGAATTATAAAAAATTAAATTAAACAGTGTAATTACCTTGTTAATGAAAAAACCTTTGGTGTTCTTAGAAATTAATGAAATTGTTTGAGTAACAATCATATCTAGAATGAAATAGCACAATTTAAAAACGACCTTTTACAACAATTTGTTACTCATTTTATCTTTAACATAGGAATATTCCAAAATGATACTTGAATTTAGAGATTGTAGTAACGAAATATACTCACTGCTTTTTAATTGGTTGATTGGAACTATTTAGTAATTTCTGAGGACCGAGAACGACCGCGAATCCGCTTTTATTCCTCCAGTAGCCAAATTTAATTAAGTGCTCCACGCACACATCCGGGAACGCGTTTTACGCCGATTGAATTGCAATAAAATCAGCTGGGTAATGAAAAATCCGCTTGATATTATAACCCCAGACCAATTACAATATGGTCAAAGTCCACTAAATGTGGTTCTCATACGGTCAAGGCTCTTTCACTAAAATGTACTATTACTAGATTTTAAATATACCATATGGAATAAAATTATAAATATTGCAAGTTACACCCAAGGAATTTTTTAAAACGAATTTGTTGCTAGGAGGATTTTTATTAAGATATTTCTAAGTTCTGGGTGTTTGAATTAAATCGAATTGATTGTTAATTATAGATATACTATAAAAAAAAATCTATTACGTAACACGTCTGGGTTTTAAGTTGTAAAAATGTATCGTAAAATGAATACTTTGTTTACATAAAGAGTGAGATATAAAATGTTATGTCTGTTTCTTATCGTAGTTAGGAAATTCTTTAAAAGAGGGAGTAACAAAAAGCTACACCAAATTTTAAACACTTAATTATTTCTTTTAGTACAATCTTAAATCTTAAAACACGTATAAATTTGTATTATGAATCCTACAGCTAAGAATTACTAGTTAAACTAGCCATTAATAATTCCATTTTATGCAAAAAATTTCTTCCTTCCATTTTATCCATTCGAACCTCCCGAAATTGTCCCCCCAAGTGTTCCCATTTTCGTTCAGTTACCAATCTGCTAGGAAAGAAATCTGCTCGCGGTGAATGAGCAACGGAAACTTGAACACCAGCTTGCGGTTCACATCGTACAGCAATTAATCTATCTCCATTGGGTGAAGCTAACAAACAAGAACTTGCATTTCCAAGTAATTCGACAGCACCAGTACCTAAATGGGCTGAATTAGCTAACCCAGTCCACCCCATAATTTTCGCTAAACTTTGTACAGAATGTATTTGATGTTGATTGATATGGCAAAAAATTAAATCTCTTAATTCCTGAGGTTCATAACTCATATGCATAACTTTTCCATCTCTACAAATACATTTTAATGTTTTTTCAGCAATATGTATAACCAAAGGGGTTCGATAAACAACATCATAACCATGAGTTGTTATATTTATTTTAACACATGATTGAGTTGGACTATTTAAAGTATTCCAATGAGAACATATGAGGGGATCCTTCACTTCTTTTGCAATGGTATCTAAAACGTAACTTGTACGATTTCTTAAAAAGAAATGTTGTGCTTGCTTGATAATTTGTTCTAAAAGAGTTTCCGATTTCGTCATCTCAACCAATTCATGTCTATCCATCGCATGTGGTCCTGCGAGGCTACGTTTTTTAGATGGCCCCAATGGGCCACTTGCAGGATGTGGAAATGGATGATGAGTGTTTTTATGGTGAACTTCTCTTAAAAGTTGATGAAGGGAATGTTCCAAAACGTGATCGTGTTCTGTTTTGGCTGGTGCTGGAGCTGATGATTTCTTTTCACCACTCGTCGAGTGATATAAAGAAATTATCAGCTGAATTCCAGGCAATACCTTAAAAATAAAAAGAAATCAATTTTGTTTGTAAATTATTAATCTGTTAATCATTACAGTGGCCATGATTTGGTTTCCAACAACCATATGTGGGATTGGAGCTTGTAATTGAACAGCTTCTTTAGCTAATTGATTAAACAATTCTTTACAAAACAATACATTTTGAGCTGATTCCAATTTTTGTTGCCAATGAACATCTGTAACTGAAGTATAAGCACTAGAAGGTAATAAATTAATATTTGCGCTGCATAAATCTTCCTGATCTTTTTTGCATATGACTTGAATATAAGCAACACCCTGTAATTCAGTTGGGACTGTAACTCTTAAAGATGAATTAGTTTTATTGCTGCTGGGTTGAGCCCCAGGTAAAGGACTGTTTGGGGGGCTATTATTTTTTTCCTCATCTTCAGCTTTAGTAACTTCAAATGTTCCAGTTTGTGAGTATTTTGATCCTGCAGTTCTATAACTTAGATCTCCAATAATACTGTTAGATACTTTTTTCAGTCTCCAATTTTGTCTTAAACGTAACAGATCGAAATGGAAATTAGATCGATTTTGAACAGCTTCACTTTGAGAATTCTTCAATCTTTCAGCCCCCGTTAAAAGAACATTAGCTGCACCAGCCAAAGCTTTTTTTCTTGCATGCATTTGTACGATAGGTTTGGTATCTAAAGGTTCTTGTTGTACAGGATCCAAAACCATGTATCTCTTATCTTTTGCAATAGCCAAAACATCTGCTAAAACACACACTTCAGTTAGGGCACTTCTTAATTTGTTTCTAACCGAATCCCATGGCCATAAATTTGCTTGAAAACTATCTTTACTATCACTGTCTGATTTGGACTCATCTGAGTCAACAGGTTCTTTTTTCGGTTCTAAATCAGCAGCTAATTTACTAAAATCGATTTTTTGGGCATATTTCGCTAAACTTTCCGATAAAGTTAATGGACTAGAGGAAGAATTGGTTATTATCAAGAAATAATTATTAAAAATTTAACTTGAGTACTTACGCTTGGTAAATTTCTTGCCCATCGTAAGTTATTTCTTGTATTTGGTTTTCGATGGGTGCTTCCACCGATATATTCACCGAATACGACATGATTATTTTAATTCTGCATTTATTACAACATTTATTTCGTATTGTTAATTATTACGGCTTTTTGATGTTTCAGGTTAACGTGACATTACAGGTTTTTGTGTTTATCGACAATGTCAAAATACTTAACTTTTTTTTATTTAGAAATATTAAATGAATTATTTAATTAGTTTTGTTGTTGCATTTTTACTACGTTAAATTATTTATATATAATGATTAATAATAATAGTAATTCTAGATTAATAATTATTATTTATGGTTGTTTCAGATTCCTTCTTTATCGACAATGTGATGTAACCTGTAAAAAGAAAACGTAAGTTTTTGAATACTTTTCATGACTTTGTTTTTAATTTGTTTCATTTTAAGGAAAGTCTAAAATGACCTTCCTTTGCTACATCCTTTGTTCTTTTGCAATCTTGAAAATGACGTCTCTATCGGGCCAATACGTGACACCACATATCACCATCAGTTAGCTGTTACTAGCTAATTCTTGGTCTAGTATTAGTTCTAGTTAGGACAAGAAATTAAGCATTTGCTAATTCAAAGTGTGAAATACTAGGGCAACTACTATACCAACCCATGCGTGACGTCATGAACGGGCCGTCGAGCTATGCATCTGGGATGTAACAGTTCTCTTAGATTCTACCGTCCTTGGTCTCGTTATAAAAATGTTAAAGTAACTTGGTATCTTCAAAAAACATTTATTACATATAAGTAATGTAATTTTTATGTATGTTGGTTTGAAACTTTGCTGATAAGACTTTAATATAGCTTGTATGCAATAGATGGAAGTAGTAGAATCAAATATTTAAACAATTCTGATCATATATTGTTAAACAATAGCAATTCTGATTTATTTTTAACATCATGAATAATTAAATATTATTTAAATAGTAATATTAAATAGTTTAATCATTGATAAAATAACACATTCTAGTGATAAGTCATAGAACATTTAAGTCATATTATTGTTCTCAATGTTTATTTAAAAAACAACCTATAATTTTGAATAAACAAAGTAAATAAGCTTCCCTAATTTGCATAAATAAGCCGAAATATTCATTATATTACTCAGTATCAAATTAAACGTACAAGAAATTAATCATCCCACATACAAGAAACATGATGAACGCAACAACACCAACATCACGAATTTGCACATGTCCCTCGTTTCATAAACGAGGCCTAATTCGTGCGAAATTACGAATCTGTCAGATAAGTCGATACCGTTCGCGCGTTGGAGTCGATGAATATTAATGCGGTATTTGTTTATCGGACGTCCGCATTGTCTTCTCGATGCGGAGTGCTTGCGTAAACAGGCGCGATATCGATTTCCGGCGGGCGTTAACCGCCAAACGGCGAACGCCGCCTCGTTTCCGGTCTTCCTATCGGAAGTTTAAACGGTTTTGGTGTTTCTACCATTTGACCCCTTCAAACGCGTTCAGCGCATTCGCAAAGCGAAATCCGAGAAACTCGGATTACGATTCGTCCATTTGGATCTCCAATCCCAAATTTACATTTAACAATAAAAGAAATAACTTTAATTATCTCTTTTGAGGTGTTATGTTTTTTTTTGGATTATTGTTGTTCGTACTTATGTTTATGGTGGAGGTGGTGTTGGAGGTTGGACTCAACCCCACTTCTCCAGAGGTTGCCTTTTGCGAACAAGAACGGTAAGTGCTGCAATTGTGCGGGTGGCCGACGTGGTGGGTGGGTGGCTGCTGGAGGCGCACACTCGTCGTGGATCGCAGGAGCGCGAGTCCTGCAGGACGCGGGGGGAAACGACATGGAGAGGACTAGAAGTGGAATATCAATAATGTGACCGAGAGTATTGCAGAGACTTCCAAACATGGCCGTCGTGCTCTCCTTCTGCAGGAGGAGAGAGACCGGCGCGAGAGGCGCCCCCGGAGAGACGGCAGCAGCGCCCCGCAGGATCGCTAAAAGCCGCCGTCCTGCAGCGACGCCGTCCTCAGGAATTTATTGCTATTACGTTCTATACCGTCTCTCAAAACCCAAGTAACATCAGATGTTTTGTTACTTTATCTTTTTTTTTATGTTAAAAGTTCTTTTTTGTCCTTCGGGAATAAGTAATATTTCCCAAAAAAAAGTGTACCATATCTTGCAATATTAAGAAGTGACAAAAAAGTATAAAATTCCCAAACTGGCAAAAGCCTTTATCATCTCAAGAATTTGAATTGAAAATATGATTAGTATTAAAAATGTTTTAGTAATATTTCTTTTGCGGTATAAAACTTTAGTAATATTCCAGGACATCCTTTGTGATGGTGTCCGAAAGGACAGAGAGAGAGTTTCTGAATTGGTGGAAGTTAGAAAAGTGAACCAGCGTTAGTAGGAAGGGTCGGACACAGGACCATCGAGGCGAAGACTAAAACTTAATAAAGACAATGCGGTCCGGGAAAACGGCAATAATAACGTTAAGGAAGTTGGAACCGTTTTCTGGACGGCGGTCCTCGTCTGGTCGGGACGCTGCTCTCCTTCTTTTTGGACGGAAGGGCGTTTCTATGCCCTGGTATCGACCGATGCCCTGGATAAGGACATTACCCGGAGCAGAGCTACGATACTCCTCCCCACCATCGACCGATTCTCTCGCCTGTTCTCTCCTTCTCTCCCGCTTTTATTCTAATTCCGTCCAGACGGGCCGTGTATATTCAAATTCTTCCTTCAGCCAGGATATACAAGAAGACGTATAATACGTGGCTTTTCTCGGGGTTCGCTTCGGGAAATTTTTCGCAGAACCGATCGAGAAGTCGTATTGAGAACCTAGCGCTGGGGGTTTATACGTCGTGAAGTTTGCTTCTTGTGTATCTATAAGAGGTGCACGTCGAAGCAGGATTGTTTTCAAAACTTAGCCCACGGCCTGAAAGTTTAAAAGGCACCCTGTAAGGTTTAGTTGCGAAAACCGCAATCGACGATTGCCGGAAGTTTTACCCACAACCCGCTCGGCGGCTTTATTTTAGATAGAACTTCGATGAAAGTTTATTGGGCGACGTGCATCGCTTTATAGTACCCAGTTCAGGCATAAACTATCTAGTTTCTTTATAACACAGTTTTCTACCCAGATATTTGGTTTTTCAACGCTGCTTAAAATCTCGATATTTTAAATATGTTTCTTCTAATAACTATTTCTGACTAGTTAGAAACTTGTTATTAACATTCATTTTGTGGATCCTTGTTATCAATATGTATAAATATGAAAAAGTCATGTATGTTTTTATGCTTTTATTGATAGATGATTTAATTTAAAATAGGCAGAGTTTTAAATTATCTATCAATAAAAGCATAAAAACATACATGACTTTTTCATATTGTTATTAACAGTCGTCAAAATATAGATGGAAATTTTAAACTTATCATTTTGTTAGCTATTGACGAGGATTTTGATAGTCACAACAAAATCCAGCAAATCATCAAGTTCCTCAGTGATCTGCACAACGTGTGTAAGGGGCAGCCAAGAAACATGAATTCGTGCAGTAATTACGAATTCAATGAAGATGATACTAGACCGTCATCCTCATTCATAACATCTTGTTTTCTGATGAAGCTACATTTCCCCTGAATGACATAGTAAATCGATAAAATTACATATCCTCGCCCTAATTTTAAAAACTCGTAAGTCACACTGTTTACTATGCTAACGTAATAAATTTTTAGGCAATCCTTGCATAGATTGAGTATCACTATTTGGTTCATGTCATGAATATTTTTTTGTCTTGCCATTGTAATCCATTCATCAAAATAATTGATTTTGTATTCTATAGTTTCGGAGGGATTATATTTTATGCATTGAAGACTTAGATGTGATCAATTTATAAAATGTCAGGTTATTAAAAAATTCAAATTCAGAATTGTGCAGTATAAAAAGTAGACTCCGTAGTAGTTCTTAAAATTCCCAATCATCTTCAGGAGCATCAGTAAGGATCAGTATGGCATCGCCGAAAGTTTACAACCTTAGTATTCGAAAAATTATACATGCTCAGGATATAGATAAGCTGCAGCAAATAAGCTACTATTTCCTTTTTTTTTGTAACCATGAGATGATAACATTCTCATAGTTTTGCAGTTCTATTTCTATATATATACTGGTCAGAGAGGCAATAATCTGGTAACAGATAAGGGAATAAACAAAATCTGGAAACCCAAGAAAAATATAGTAAGAGAGGAGTGTAATTGGGAAAAGGCCATAAATGCAAGAAAAAGACTAGACAAAGAAGACAATAACTGGTTTGTAAAGACTGGTAATTGAAGAAGGAAATTGTGGAGAGAGGAGGAAAAGTGTAAAGAGAATGGCAATAGAAAAAATGATTTAAATAGAACCGGAAACTAATGAATACATTTTCTGCCATCTATCGCTCATTGTATCTTTTCATCCCAGACGTCGGCCAGTACAATGTTTGATGAGTTTAAATTGGTTTATGGCCCCTACAATCCATTAAATGACAGCTCTTTACCTGTACTCGTCATCAGACACAGCTCAATTCTTCATTGGTAAAAGTGTCATTTAGATCCAAATGAAGATCGCCTGTAATGCATTAGATTATGATAACATTTTGATGAATACTTTAACACTGTTTTAATCCACTAATATACTCAGACCCAACCTATAAACTTTATAGTTATGAATTCCTCCACAAGGTTCACGATTTCAATCAAGGTTCAAGATTTAATGCCTTTCTCACATTCAAAGAAGGTATGCTCCATATCGTCTCTTCTGCCACAGTAGCGCACTGTTCGTCATCTGTTCTTTTATGTACATATATAGGTACGTTTTGAAGAATCCGTGTCCGCTTATAAGTTGACTCAGGAAGTAATAACACTCAGGAAGTGTTATCGCCCCACCTAACTTTGCCACTATCCCGATTCCATCTGTCTTCCTGTTCTCGAAACAGTTGTTTGATTTCTTCGTTTTTATCTGTGTCTTATTTTGCTGCAAGCTTTCACTTCTCATACTTGAGATAATAATATATTGGCAGCGTGCTTCCCATAACCAGTAGAGCCTCCGTAAATGTTGTTCTATAAGCACTTGTTGCTCTAATTAATATCCGTCTTTGAATCTTGGTTAAGTTTGCAACATGGTTATCGTCAAACGCATTTCCC